AATATTTTGATGGTCTATTAAAGTTTTTCTCAAGAGTTTTTCATTTTAATATAACATTAATAATGCAGAGATCTCACCACAACAACTTCACAGGAATAGCTGTGCTTATTAGAGATTCTGAACTATTTTCCATAGAACCTCCTGTCATTATGTGTTCAGGTGTCTTTGCTGAAGCCCATGCTTAACGTAATAGCAAGCTGAGGTTCCTCCATTTAAAATGTTCAAGTAAAATTTCCAAGTTTGAAGTAGAACAATAAGCAAAAGTGTAAATGATCCTAGCATAAGAACATGAGCTCTTACTGCACTGTTCTCTTTGACGTGTCCAGATCAGTAACAAAGGTTGCAAGAATTTAGATTTATTCCTAAAAGTTAGTCTTACAAGCCCCAAGGGACTCATGTTGTTGTTCCATGCTATTTATCATGCATCTCATTTAATACTTTCTGAAGCAGAATGTTTTTAGCATTATGGAGTGCTGCACTCTATCAATTGGCCTACTAAGTGGGGATCCAGCTGTGTTCAGGCCCAAAGATCTAGCCTTGGCATTGCAGCATTTCTGCCTGGTGTGTTTGAGGTGTTGCTCATACTTTACTTTTAATTAGTACTTTGGCCATGTTCGTTTCTGCTCCACCCATCACACCCACGGGCTTCAAAGGATTCATACCAGTGTAACCCCTCTGTTTATTTCGTTTTATTATTAGCGTGATTTCCTAAGGAAACGAGGCTTTGAGAGGTTGTTGTGTTTGTCTAGTTTTCTGCCCATCACCCCGGTCTTCCTCATTTCCAAAACAATTTTGAACCTCTGGTAAGCTGGAGAGAATTGGCAATCCCAAAGAGGTGCTCCTGCAAGTTGTGTGACAATTGAAGAAAGCCTAGTAATGCTCCCCTGAGAGAAGCTGTACAGCTGAGAAAGCTGCTGTGATTTTAACCTTACTAGACACTAGAAAATCCAACCATGAGACAGAGATTGCTAGGATAGCAGGTTTTTTAATTTCTGCACAGGAATGACTTATTACTAGCTACACCACCACAATATCCAGCAGTCCTGCTCATGGCCAGAATGCCATTACATGGAGGATTACACATAGAATAAACAGACCTTTCATGCAAGGAACAGACAGAAAAAAAAAAGAAAAAAAAAAGAAATAGAGCTTGTCTCCATCAGCTATTGATCAAAACAGTGTTCTAAAAGTGCCTCAGACATCTACCAACCAGATGTCAGCCTTAGAAGTACACAGGCTTTAAATATTTTAATATATATGAGTGGACAGATGGTCACTTAGCATAACGTATTAATGGAATGGGCAGAGCTGTGCTGCCACTAGCTTTTAGTTTAGTGGAACTGCAGTGTTTGTAAGCTGCAGGTGTTCAGAGGCAAGTAATTTGCAGCCAGCTCAAATTACTTAGGGTACATGACAGAGCAAATTATTTAGGTAATGAAGCTGAAAATGCAGGAAGATTAGAATATTATATAGTAAAATCATTCCTTGTTAATTCAGTTTGTGATCAGATATTATGTTGCTTTAAATACCACATTACATGCAGTACCCTTGTTTGAGTCAATGAATATGTATGAATATGTCAGTGAATATGTATGCCTCCTAATTTAATCAATATACTTACAAACAGCACTAGCAATGTCGTCTGGCACAGACTGCATCTCTTTAGAAGCAAGTTAGCCCAATTTGTGTATGTATCATATTTTGTTCAAAGCCCTTCTGAATTAGCTGCAAAGTTCTGCATGCCCTCTGAAGCGAGAGATGTGTAAGCCACATTCAGGAAAGGCAATTTAAATTTTCTTGAAGCAAAAGAAGGGATAACTACTCAAGCAGTACCTCAAGACTCAGGAGATCCCAACTCCTGTCCTGACTGCACGCCACATCTAGCCTTGAGCAGAGTGTTCAGTTCAGCCAGCAATTCCAATCATGGTGCTTTCACCATCTGAGAGGGATGCTCAGTGCCCAAACGTGTAGCTTTTAAGAATTCAAGTCCAGTCTGACAGACTGACGAGAAGAAGCTTCAGTCTTAACTGAGTGATAAAAGAGGGTATACACCTGGAATTTCTTCATACTGTATCTGGAGAGCTGAAAGGGGGGGTGCTCCTACCTGAATAGTGTCAGTGCACCGAGGTGATTGGCCCTGTAGGTACTGCAGATGGGAAAAGGAGCACCGCCTACATCAATTTTCCTTCCAGATAATGCTGTTTTTAACTCAGAAAACAGAAGCAGAATTAGAAAGAGGCAGTAGAATGCACCTAACTTTCACATTCTAAAAGTTAGGCTTGTAATTTAGTTATCAGTAAATTACTTCTGGTGATTGAAGAGGAGGCATCTACACTTAGGGGTTCATTTCGCTTCTCCTGTGTGAGATGAATCATGCCCCTTCTCTCGCTTTCTCTATCTTGCTTCCTCCCATTCTTTTTCCTTCTCCTTTCCTCATGACTCTAGCAGCAGCCAACACAATGACGTGAGCTAATTACCTGACCTTCTAGATAGCTCAGGTCAGCTAGGTGAATCTCACCTGACATGAAAGAATGGGACCCATTTTTGCTTGCACTGAAAGTCTTTCCCAAGAAGTCAAACCTGAGGTTTCATACTTGCTCCAAAGTGGAAAATATAACATGATCGGTGTGAACTTACAGTTTTAAAATAACACTGGGAAAACACGAGGAGGAATTTTATATATGTATTTATATATATATATATATATATATATAAATTCCTAGACGAATATTTCACCAGAAACAAACATACCGTTCAGACACCTTAATTAGGTGTCTGAAACGTGTTTTCCTCCGAGTGAACTGATAATATGTTTTCCTGTGTTGAGGCTCTGTGTGTTTCTACCTAAATGTCAGAACTGGGGAGAAGGATGCTCCTTGCTTTACCTGGCTGTACAGTGCCCTGTCCTGACTGAAGTCTGCCCAAGTAGTCAGAAAGGAAGGAACTGTTACAATGAACTCATACAGAACATTTCCTTATCAATGCAGAATTCGTTTTCCTGCTATTGCTTAAACCAGAGAAACAACAAAGCAGCGTTTCATGATGTGATAATTAGTAAAAAGGGAGAGGCAGTCTGGAGGGGTTGGTTGGGGATAGACTGAAAATGGCAGGCAAGCCCAGGGAAGGGAAAGAAGTGAAGCCTGGAGTAGGAAGGAATAAGGGAAATTCTTCTGTTACAGACGTCAACAAAAGATGTTGTTTAGTTCTCCCTCTGGTTGTCTGGTAGGCATGGTCACTAGGAATTACGCGGAGATAATCATGTAATTTAAGCATACCAGAGCTACTTAAGAAAATTGCCAGGTAAAGACACAATAGATGAAGGAAGAAGAATAGTTCAGTGGACAAAACATTTTTTCCCTTGCAGTGCTTGGGCTCACGTTACCGTTTTGTCCGATAATGACCAGACCAAAGAGTCTGCATTCAGTTTTCCTGTTGTAAAATGCAGGCAAACAGTACTACAGCAGAAGGAGGGTATATTTCTTGGAGGCTGCGGGACATGTCCATGATATTAAAATCACATACATAGAGAGGTCTCAATGGATGTAGATTCCTTTCACTGTAAGACTAGTTTGCCTGGTGTTTGACATGAGTTCATAGCAATTACTACCTCTGATACTCAACTGCCTTTGGCCCTTACTGGCTGCTTGTTTTCCTCATAAGCTATTTCTCTAGCAATTTGTTCAGTGCTTGAGGTTGGTCTTTGTGCTTAAGTTTTTTAAGTATTTGCTGCTCTTGTTTGGTCCTTTCTTCCTATTCATTACTGCCTTTGGCAGAGGACATCACTGGGAGTATTGTGGAGCACTGTTATTTCAGGGTGTGAAAGATTCTCAGGCCTTTAATCTAGAAATACAAATGACATCTGTCACCTGGGTATCTTAGCGGTTTCTAAGCAACCACAAGAGTTTATTTTTTTCTGCATTTGATATTTAAGAAATAATTTGGTCATGCATGAACCAGAAACAGCCTGAGCACCACCTCTGGAGACAGAAACTGTAAACTGTAATTTAGGCTAATTCTAGTCTAAAACATGAATTACAGTGTTTTATACAATCTTGGAAAACATACTGTATAAATATATGTAAGCACAGAACAGGTACAATTAATTTGAACTCGGCAGGAAGCTCTAAGTAACTCAGGGAATGTGAGAAACCAAGTTGGAACATATTCTTGACATGTAAAAATATTTCCCACCTGCCTTGTTTGCATAAGAACAAGGTTTTAGCAAGTACATATTTGCATGTCAAAGTTATAAGTGGGGAAAATATTTTCACCCTTATAAGAAAAATGCATAATCTTGGCAGAGGCAATTTGCATTTAGTAAGTTTAAAGTATCTAAGTCCTTTCATGCTATATGGAAAGTGTATGAACTTGTGACAGAGATTCCATTTCAATGAGCTGATTTGCAAAGGCAGCCACGTAGAGCAGTAATTGATCTGATGTCTTTCCATGCATTAATTTGTAATACAATTGGTTGTGGCAGTCCCAAGTAATTTATGCTTCTGAATTTCATCCCACTGTTCTGTACCTCGAAGTGAAACATTAAGTTGTAGTTGTAAATGCTGTGTGCTCTTGAAAGCGAGTACCTTGAAGGTGCAGTAAGCTCTAGGAAATTTGGAATTCTAAAATGATTCTGGATTTTGTGTTGCTGCTCATATGGCCAGTGGTCAGCACATACTGACAGAGATGGAAACTGTGAATCTGTGTAGATTCTCTTCCAACAATAACACACCCTGGCAAATGCATTTGGGACTAATTATTGCACCTTTTAGACTATTAGTGAGCTAGCTTTAGGCCATGACTTTGAAGGCATGTTACATTCCTTCAGAAATACTCTGCAAATCTCCTGTTGCTTAAGAGACGGAGATTGCATAGACAGGCTTCATGGGTGATTTAGCTAATATGCTGGAGACTGTAGATAAACAAGATCCAATTATATCATACCTCCTCATAATAAGGCAGTAATTATGTATATAAAAGCGAATTGTGAACAAATATATTACCATGTAGCTGTCCAGGTGAGCTTTATCACTACTGCGCTGTCAGTGGAGTTGGAGAAGGCCAATGATTTCCTGTAGCAGAGTAGAAAAACAGAGCTTGAATAAGCATAACTGGGAATCAACAGATCTATTCCAGAGCCTACCCATGGGATTTCTCTTTGAATCTGAACTTTACATTGCACAAATTTTGAACTTCAGTGAATTTCAGTCTGTTACTCAATTTGGTAATGTGATGTTAAGTGAGGGAAGAGGAGTTATACTCCCCTTTCTGCTCATAAGATCTGTTTGTAAACATATGATGCACTACTAATAATTAATGCATGGAACAAATTAATAAAATAACTTACACTTTTTTTTCACCCTCTTATTATTTCACTTCCTGCTTCATGTTATTTAATGTGTTAGCTGAGAGCAAGGTGAAATGAAAACACTTTCTGGAGGACTGCAAGGCAGAAGTATTTGTTTACTTTAGTATCCTAAACAGACATTTTAATCTCAGCCTTTTGTTTTGTCGTTGCAAGGAGGGTGTGGGATTCAATGTCAAGAATGCAAAAATCTCTATGACGGAAGCAGATGTGAGTGGAGTGGGGTCTTGTACTACAAAAACATTTTGAAAGCTGCTGATATGAAAATACCAGGCAAACAACACCGTAGTCCCTTGGCTGTTGGGTACTGCTTTCCTCAGCAGAGCATTTCAGATGCTATTAGGTTCTTAGGAACAAATGGGTTTCTTCTACTTAGGTGATCTGTTCACTGCATTTGATGCAGTCTGGAGAATATTCTGAAGTAGTGTTTTAGCACAGTCAGTGCTGTGCAGTCTACTGATTTGGCCTGACCTGGAGCTATGGTGTTGTGCTGCAGTGAAGTGAAGCACAGAGAAGTACTAGGAGATTATTCTTGTTATAATAAGATGATTCTTGTTAACAACAAGCAGTTGGTTAGGGATTTAATGGCATGTAAAATACAGTGTTTCAAAGAGTGGACATGACTTTTTGAATGCCTTGTTGAGAATACAGCAAGGCTAAGCTAATGCATTATCTTAGATGTGATTTTATGTGTTGTCACAGTCTGGATAACCATAAACTGGATGAAATAAAGGCTCTCTGAGGCAATCAAGCATCTTGAGAATGGAGTTCCTCGCAGAGAATGGAGTTCCTCGCAGGAGATTAACTGCACTTCTGATGTTTAATAAATCACACAGCGAGAAACATAGCTAGAGTTGTGTTTGTATTCCTTTTCAGTGTAATCTGGTTCAGGAAAATTAATATAGCCCAACCCAACACAGTTGCAAGACAGGAAGTGCATTCTTAGGATTCTGTTATCTACATGGTATGTACGCTCTGTATGCTTGTGAGAGCACATGCAAGCGTAGGTAAAATGTTGACTGTTGGTCTTTGGTATTATAAACTAATGCCTTGGTATGATGCTATATAAAAGATACTTGGCTTGCAAAATGACTTCAGTGATGTGCTGAACAAGCAGCTGAAGAGATATTCCTGAGGAGTTGTGATTTAGACATACATACAAAGAGTTTTATCACACAGTAAACCGAATTACATATGCTATATTCCGTAGAATATCACATATGCTACATATATATATGAAATCTGGAAAAAATAAAAATCAGAGCTTTCCTATCGTGTCTTTCTATGGCGTTTTCAAGACAAAGTCATTTCATTTGTTTCCTGTGTTTTGAATAGAGTACTGCTGTGTTTTTGCCCCCATTTGCTCTGTGGGAGCTAATATACAAATGCATACTGATTATTCAGTGTAGCTATTTGAATTTTGGAATTCTTGTGTAAAATACAATTTACCGTGGTGCTTCTCTTTTGTGTTGGCCAGTCATGTGAGCTGGATGGCATGATCAAGACTTCTCTGGTAAAGAAGTTACGTTCATTTTCAGGAAGGACAAACTTGAAAGTTACCTGCTGCAGCCAGAGTTAAGACTGGAAGAAACCACTCCAGTGTCTTCCCAGCTCTTTGGCCAAAATGTGAACTCTCTGACTCTTTTTGGCTTTGAAATGCTGATTCCAGCCTTCTTGTGGGTTCTTAAACACCTTCTCAAATGACCCATTTTAATAACCCAAAAGCTATTATATAATGAGCAGCCATAATTTAGTCCAAAGCTCTAGGGGACCCTTGGAGTTCAGCAATGAATAGTTAATGCAGTATAATGTTTAGCAGGTTATTAGTTTTCACTGTACAAATGCTGATCAGGGAATGCTTTTATAAGGTGTTTAAAAGAAAATGTAATTAACTGGTTGTGTGCTTCTGTTGCAGCTCAAATTGAAATTATTCCATGCAAGATCTGTGGAGACAAATCATCAGGAATCCATTATGGTGTCATTACATGTGAAGGCTGCAAGGTAAGGATCTAAAAAAATAAGTTTTGAAAGAGTGCTTGGCCTTTGAATAGTGATTATTTTCCTTCCTTTTTTAAAGAGCAACTATTACTTGGAAATTGAATCAGTAGATTTCATTTCAAAGAATATGAAATCAATGGGTGAGTCTGAAGTACTGTTTTCATTTGGGTTATTAAGAGGCATTTTTGTGACACACCTTCTCCCCAGAGACAGGCTTAAAAAATCATGCAGTTTTGCTGCATGTGCTCTAAACTGTCTCTCTATGAAGAAGCAGTAAAAGCTTAAGTAGCATAAAAAGATGAACCAGTTCTAGCATATCTCAAATAATCTGTTCTGCAGATGCCCTTAAGAGGGAGTTGTGGTTTTCTTGATTCTCCCTCTCCATTTTTTGCTTTGTAAATTGCTGCGTATCTGTGTTGAAATAGCTATGGTGAGAGCTCTCTGACTTCTTGATTTTCTTCTGCAGCCTGCTACAGTTAAAAATCTATTCTGTTTTGCATGGAAGATGCTGTTGTGCAAATTCCACTTGCTACAGGTGTTAAACATATATGTTCAAAGCACTGTGAGCAGTGCTTATTTCTTGCAGCGTAGCTCACTGTTATGTTAAGGTTTAAGATTATTTTTTTTTTCTGGATTTGTACCTTTAGAAGCTGTAGTGAAAAAGGATTACATTAGAAGCACGTATGTTTTGCTTAGTTTGTCCCTCCCAACCAAGAACTGTATCAGACAGTGCTTGCATTAGTCCAGAGTGCTGTGAAACCAATCATTGCTTTCTGTTACTAGTACAGAGTTACAGCACTAGCTTGGGAATGGCAGTTTGTACAGCAGCTTGCTGCTTTCTTAATGCAAGTATGTGTAGGAGTCCCATGCTGATAGGTTTTCTACTAATAATCTACATTTCAGAAATTATATTTATGTTAGGTTTTAGTGTGCTCTCCTGACATGCTTGATATTATCTTTAATCTATGCAGCAATTTCTCTTTTCTTTTTTTATGGAAGATTTTAATGTTTTCGTTCTCACATTCTCTCGGTCTCATGGAAGTATTGGTAAAAAGGAAGAAAAACTCCCCAGAGTGTTAAAATGATGCAGGACTGCACATCATGCCTTTTTGACAGCTGTTGCTATGGAAAAATTTAGGAAATCCACTAAAAGTGCATTTGATAATAAAGTTTCTTGCAGTTAGTTCAACATCATTTATCACACACCAACTTTGCAAAGCGGCAGACGTTTACAGGGGCAGTTGAGCTGTATGAATAGAAGACCATGACGTTACATTCAGTGTTCAAGACCCTTTAATCTTTAAATGGTCTGGACCAGTATACCTGAAAGACTGCCTCAAGATCCCTGACGAGCATCACTGTCAACAGACTGAGGTTAGCATAATGCTAACGCTCGTCTGTACAGAAAACAAGGCTTTCTCAACATGGCTTGTTGCAGAACAGGAACAGTCTGCTGAAGGGAAGTTGCCAACTATATTACCTTTTGCTTCATCTTAATGCATGTCTTTGGCATTGCCTTCTCTTAAGCCCTGTATGTGAGAAAAGCTCCCAACAAAAGCAGCAGGATGACCACAAACAGCAGCAGCACGAACCATATTCACAGTCACATTAGTTAGCGTGTAAATGGTAAGAGCTTAGCACTGCAGCTGTGAGAGAAATATCTACTGAGAATTTCTCCATCAGAGTGACTGGTTTCCCAGGAATAATGCAAACATGAGTTATTAGAAGAAGAGTCTTTTTTGTGCCTCCCAACAGCCAGAACAAGAGATGCTAGCTGGTAGTGAGAAATGCATGTGGAATTCCTTACATATTAGAACAAACAGTATTCCTTCAAACTCCATATAAATTGAGCTCTCTGGAGGTCTGTGCAGCCCGCCGTTTGCTCCAGAATGATCAGCTGGTGTGAAGGGGCAGAAGGGGGCACAAACAAGCAAGTCTGCTCAGCTGAAATGAAGCACACTGGAACCTATTTGAACTTTGAAAGCGGTGTATGCGTGAATAAACAAGACAATGAAGTTAGGCATTTTCTCCTTCTCTTGCAGTAGCAGAATAGCCATACAATTTCAAGCAGCATTTCAAAGCCAATGGATATAAACTTATTTACTTCCCTTCTAGGAGGCAAATAAATCTGAAGCTCACTATTCTTTACTGCCAGATCCTGGAAGTAGTGAAAGATAAGGGAGCTCTAGTAGGGACAAGTGACAGGAAGAGTTTACAAGATAGTGGTCAGAAGCATTTAAAATACCCTAGTGTAGCAGATGGATTTTGTTTGTGCTAAGCAATTCCACAGTAGTGTCAACAAAGTCTCACCCAACAGAACTATTTTGGCTGGTGAAAAAGTTGGCATAACGTGGCTTCTGCCAAATGAGCCAGGTGTTTATTGGTCTGGAGTTTTTTTTGTTTTTGTTGTTGGTTTTTTGTGTTGTTTTTTCCCCCCTGAAATGCATTTCCCAGGTTTTCTGTGGCTGTGACTGCTGCAGGTTTGAGCATGCTTACAATTGCTTTTCATGTTATGTTAAACCTTCTTTCATAAAAACTACTTTGTTATGAAGAGCTAGTTCCCAGCCCTACACTGATTGCTGGAGTCAACTTCTTCCTCCGTGGATAGACCCAGAGAAGTCAGTGAGGTTCTGCACAGATGTACAAACCTATCTGCGTGCATCAGATTGCAGGATCAGGGCCTTAATCATCACAAGGGAACAGCTGTGC